GATGATCCTCAATTTTGTGAGGTTGCTAAGCAAGATGGGTTTGACATTCGGCTTATATGTCAACCACCCAATTCTCTAGATTTAACATTATAGATTTGGGTTTTTTTCGAGCTATTCAAGCTATTCAATACAAGAAAGATGCTAAGACAATGAAAGATCTAATTCCAGTAGTCGAACAGGTAAATGATCATCCATTCCATTGTTTCAATACAAGAAAGATTGTTTAGAAGATCTAATTTCTTGAACACATGTTTTGTAGGCATTCTTGGAGTACAGTCCATGGAAAGCAAACATGATTTTTGTAACACTACAATCTGTTTTGAAGGAAGCAATGAAGCTTAAAGGTTGCAACAATATAAAAATTCCTCACTTGCAGAAACAAAGACTAGAGAGGGAAGATAGGCTACCATTGCAAATCCCCTGTGAAGCTTCATTGCTAGCCGAAGCACTTGCTAGTCTTCCTGAAACAAATTAGAAGATGCAAGTTAGTTTATGCAAATTATTAGATGCGTGTATCTTAGGTTTGCAATGGCCAAATTGTGAGATGCATGTACTGTACCTTAGTGCTCTTTGTTTGCTGCTTCTTAATATGCTCATCCACCTTCTTCAAAACTTCATCAGTGCACATGATTCTAGTACCATCCATCTCAAGTTTAGCCACATCAGGAATGTAGAACTCGCAATCGAACCTGTCCATTAGATGGAGCCACTTTGCTGAGATGTCGTAGTCTTCATGTAGAAGGCCACAACGTGCACACCTACGAGCGTTCCGGCGAGCTTGGAAGCAAGCATCTCCGAAGACGCCGCCAGCGTGCAGCGTGCCGCAGCAAGGATAGTACACGACCTCATCGTCGTCTGGGACGTCCTCGACGGAGTCTGGCACGACGTCGACGGAGTTCGACACGAGCTCGACGGAGTCCAGCACGACGACGTCGACAGAGTCCGGCACAACATCGACGGACTCCATGGCCACATCAGAGTCCAGCGCGTTGACGGAGACGAGCGCATCGACGGACTTCATGGCCTCCAAGTCCAGCGCGACGACGGAGTGCTGTGCCTTGACGGACTCCATGGCCTCGAGCGAGCAGGAGAGCGTGGCGGCGAACCCTAAACGTGCTGTCGGCGCGGCCAACCCTAAATGATGGCGGCGAGGAAGCGAGCAGGAAGGGAGGCGGGTGCTGCGGAGAGGAAGGGAGGCGCGTGCAGCGGCCTTTACTCGTACGCGAGAGCCGAGAACGGGCGGCAACCAAGAGAAACAAGGCATCGAGCAATTAATGCCGAGTCCGGTGGCGAGCGGAACGGATGCGAGCGCCAGGGGTAAACCCGTCCGAGCGCGACCGAGCGAGCGTAGAATGTTAGGTTTTGCGAAAACACGACGGGAGCCCAGGACGTCAAGAATTTCGGGTACGGAGGGAGTATGCAACATAAAAAAAACACTTGCAACATACGTCTGAAAAAACAAATGAAACATCGGGAATAGAAGCTTGCAACATACGTGTACAACGATTGCAATATATGCAACATCCTGATCTACTTTTACAACATCCGCATGAAACACTTGCAACATACCTCTGAAATATCAGAAACACTTGAAACTTACGCTTGCAACATGCGCTTCTTTCTTGTCGTGGTATCTTCGGCCGATTGCGGGAGACGTTGTCCCAGCCGGCGACGACCTTCTCCTGGCGGCGTTGTGCACGCCGTGGCCGCGACGGGCGAGCGCGGAGTGGGGTGCTGATGGGGATGCCCGCAGCGGTGAGCTGGAGTGGGGTGGCGCGGCGGCGAGCCGGAGTGGGGCAGCACGGCGTAAGATGGGGCGCGCGGGGAGATTCTGTGACGACGATGCAGAGTGGGGTGGGCGGATGGTCACATGGCACAGAAAAAGCACGTGATAGGTGAACAAGTCAGGAGATATTTTGTGTGTGTGAGAGAGATGGGGAAGACGTATAGAGAGGGTGGCTTGTTGGGCTAGTACGGTAGCGCACAGGACCTGATAAGCCGTCCCATTGGACGGATGCTTGCCCCGAGCATTACCGTTAATAAACTGTATTTCAAAATTTGTATAAAAATATTATTTTACATGTATATTTACTGCTACAGTGCAAAACGTTTTAACCGTCTACGCTCTAAACAAAGGGTGGCTATCCGTTTAGCGTATTAGATAACACAACCTTTAATCACCAGTTGCAACGGCAAGCTGCCACGAGGCCCGATAATCGGCGGCTCGCCCTCCTCTTCTCTAGTTCCCACGTGCTGGCAAGCACACAAAAACATACTCTCGCAAAGAATGTTATTCTTTAATCAATTATATATATAAAAGAATAAAAATATCTATAATATATCATTAGTATTATTATATAAATCACAAAATATATTTTATAATAAATTTATTTAGTTGTATAAATATTGCTAATATTTAAATTTGATCAGCACCCGTTCCATAGCGTTTTGTTTTGGACGAAGAGAGTGCTACTCGGAAGTAGGAGTAGGTAGCTAGGAGTAGGCTGAGTAGTATACGTACGGGCTGGTGTCCCCTTCAACGTCCTCCAATCCTCATGATTCGGTCGACGGGTCGTCCACTCACGTCCACGAGGGCCCGGAAAGCCGTGCTCCCCGAGCCGTCACCGTCACTGTCCGCGACGGGGACTCGTGTTGGCCGCACGTAACGTAACCCGAACCCAACCCCCCTTGGGCCTTCGTTCGTCCGCGACCTGCGGCTACGAGCCTGTACTACTCTCTACTCCTCACCTGGTGACCTGGGTAGTGTTTAGTTCAGAAAATTTTACAAATTTTTTTAAGATTTTCCGTCACATCAAATTTTTAACGTATGCATGAAATATTAAATATAAATAAAAAATAAAACTAATTACACAGTTTAGACGAAATCCACGAAACGAATCTTTTAAGCCTAATTAAACTATAATTGGACACTAATTAACAAATAACCACGAAAATGCCACGGTAGTATTTTGCAAAAAAATTCGACGTCTAAACACAGCCCTGGTGCGTGCGCTCGGCTTTCTACCAGTACCCGACGGCGACCCGCGGGCTCCACGGCGCACCGTTCCCACCGAGCGCGAGCGAGTGACGGCAGCGGACGACGCAGGCTCTGGCCTTGGCAGCTTCACGATCACGCCGAGCAGAGACTCCCTCCGAGTCCGCGCGCGACGTCGATGTGGACGCCTCGCCGAGGAGAGGGTCCGGCCCCGCGGCGCCCATGTCCATCCACGTCGCCGTCGTGGCGACAGGCGCGCGGCGAGCCACACCCACCACCACCACGCTCACACGCCCGTCACCACCGCATGGACTGGAAGTCGGCGAATTGCCTGCCGCGCGCCGAGGCTACAGTACAAGTCACAAACCGCACGTCGAGCACGACGTTTTCGCTCGCTACAAGGACGAGCCGTGCGTGTCGCGTGTGAGCGGAGACCGGGCCGCCACGCCAGTGCGGCCGGCCGGCTCAGGCTACTAGGCTCGGGTTCCCACCTGGCAGGCTGGCACTAGTACTAGCTGCAGCAGCTGAAGCCTGAAGCGAAGGCGACGTTACGACACGATTCGTGCGGAGGCGAGCCAGGCGGATCAGGTGGCTTCAATGGCGCCGGCGGTGGCCGGCGCGGCGCGAGGCAATGAAAGCTGAAGGCCGTGCACTGCACTGTCGGCCTGTTCGCTAGAGTTTATTAGCCGGCTTATCAGCTAGAATCTATAGAATTTTTCTCTTATAACAAAACAACTTCAGTCAATTTATTAGTCGACTTTAATACCAGCCGAACAGTGTTCCCTTCGCATACGTTCTGCCCGGCAACACTGCATGCATGTCGATGTCAATGGCGCCCACGGGTTCCTTTTTCTTTTCTTTTTCCTCCATGATCCTTGATCCATCCACCGTGAATCAGAGGCAGCGTGACGATGGTGCAGGAAAAAAGGCAGGCAGCAAAGGTAGTAGCACGCTGCACGCCTGCGGGAACAGGCACACCTGCAGTCCAGGCAGGCAAGCAAAGTCGTCGTTCGTGGAGGGGAGCAACGCAGCACAGGCACAGCACGCAACGCTGGCTGGCTGGCTGTGATAGTACTCCTGCTGTGCTAGCTATAGCTAGCTCATGCGATGGATCTATCGGAGTCTCCCCCGGCCAGCGCAGCAAGAAATACAAAAAGCAGCAGACCGGACCATGTCGTGCGTGCATGCTTGCCATGCTCCAGCCTCCGAGCAGAGAGAGCGGCCCCAAAAAGGACCCATCACTTTGCTTTCCTGCCGATTGTTTTTCAGAAGAAATATATAAAAAAAATTCTCCACCTGCAACTTCCCTGCGAGGGAGTGATAGGTGGCGTTTACACGCAGAGCGTAAAGTTTAGGGTGCGTCGTATAGGATATTCGGATACTAATAAAAAAATAAATTATAGAATTAAAAAATAAATTACAGAATTTGTGGATAAATCACAAGATGAATTTATTAAATCTAATTAATTCGACATTAGCAAATATGTACTGTAGCACTTTATTACTAAATTATGAGCTAATTAGATTTAAAAGATTCATATCATAAAGTAGTTAATATATATAATTAGTTATTTTTTTAATCTATATTTAATATTATATATATATATATCGAATATTTGATGTGACGGGACGTAAAGATTTAAGGAGAAACCGAACAAACCGAGAGGAGGATGGGCTGTTGCTGTTAGTTTACTAGTACAACCACCACTACGGCTTCGTCGCTCACCTCGCCCCATCCATCCTCCTGATCCCCCTCGTATTCCATTCCTTGTCTTCCCCGCACCTGCATGCACCAATCGCCAGCAGCGACCGCCCGCGGCTGGGTGCGCGCTTTCGTTGACCCCTCCACATCCACCGGAAAGCTACGCCTCCCCCGCCGCCTCTAGCCTCGTCTCGTCTCTCGGCCCGTCCCTCTTTCACTCTCTCGCTCTCTCTCCGTGGGCGATGCGCTCAGCCTGCTCAGCTGACCTTTGATCAGAGGAGTGCCTATGCTCGCCGGCCGCCCATGGCTATGGCGGGTGGCGGCGCGGCGGCGGCCAAGAGGTGCATGAACCCGGCCTGCGGCGGGCCGGCGTCGTCGGTGGTCGGGGCGGGAGGGGACTGGAGGAAGGGCTGGCCGCTGCGATCCGGAGGCTTCGCCCTGCTCTGCGACAAGTGCGGGTACGGCCCTCCTCCTCCCTTTCCGCTCTTCTTGTCCTATGCGCCGCCAGCGTCCTCCTGCGAATGGGGCCTGGATTGGATGGATGAATCGGAATTGGTTCATGCCGTTCGGCTTCTCCTCAGTCCTCCCCTTTTTGCGTTTCGATGCTTTGCGATTTTGTTCCCCCTTTTTGCTTCTTTTTTAGATGTACAGTATATATAGAAGAACAAAAGACGTGATTTTTTTACCTGATGCTGTATAAAGGTGCGGCGATTTGCGCATCATTCGTCGTCGTAGTGGATTCCCTAGCGAAACCCAACAAACGAGCGGATTTATGCGGAAACCGTGCTGAGCTGGAACGTGTAGAGACTCCGGAAAGTTGCGTTGACTATGCCTCGACGGCTGGAAGAGTGCCTGGGTGGGTCGTAGAATTCTGACGAAGCGATTTGGTAGCAGTTGTTGATTCACCACCCTCTAGCTATTGAGAATTTCGTCAGTGTTCAGCTGCTCGGACTCTCATAGGTTCGTCACTGAAAACGAGAAGTGCACTGACATTTGCATCAGTCACTGTGGATTTGCCCCCAATGAGTTCTGAGTTCTGACCGGGTTGGTGTCAGGGATGAGCCTTACCTCTGTTCGGTAGAGGCGACTGACTATTTGCCTCACCTACTTTGTGCTATGGGATTGGATCAAAATTGTCGCTTGGTACCAACAGTCCACCTTTAACGAATCAAAAAAAAAGTCCACCTTTAACGATGATATTGTTTTTGCAGGAACTACATGCTCTGTTCACCATTTGATTTGATTATAGGAAGTACATGTTTCTTTTTTAACAATAAGATAAGAATTTGTTTCTTTTAAGGATTCCGTTCATCGTTTTTGCTTTGCTTCATCCTTTTCTCTCTCTCTCTCTCTCTCTCTCTCTCTCTTAGGAAAGCCTTATTATTGTTTAATTCCTACAAGATTGGCCCGTTTCTAATTTCTATTGTGTGGTTTCTGGTGTGCCTAGGTTGTTATATGAACAGTTTGTGTTTTGTGATATATTTCACCAAAAGGAATCAGGATGGAGAGACTGCTCATTTTGTGGGAAGGTGAGGTGGCGACCCAAGCCGCAAATACATCCAAATTCTACGATGAGATCCTCTGCAGTTGAGTGTAGTCGAGTCCCTGGTGTCTAGTGACTTTGTCACTGGCAGGTCATCAGGCCCACCTGCCAGTGACAAGTACACCATGCGGTCGACTGCAGAGGAATCGATTCTGCAAATTCTTGGGCTGAACTGTAATGCAACAGTATTCTTATGAAATTCTACTGTTTCAGCGCCTCCATTGTGGATGTGTTGCTTCAAAGAACTCTTATGATCTACTTGACAGTGGAGGAGTTCAATGTGTCACGTGCATGAAAAATTCAGCAGCTCAGTCTGTAAGTTCTTTTTTTGGTCACATTATCCACCTTCCCTTTTCAAATATTCTGATTGTACTTTTTACAGGCTTCTGGCCAAGTGGTTCCGAAGCTTTTTCCATGTCCAAATAATCTGCGGTTTTTCGATAAAACCGACGAGTTATTGTCAAGTAGAAAATTTGAACAGCCACCCTCTCTTATGTTGGATTCCAGAAATGATGATATTGCTATTGTAAATAAGAGCAATCACCTGTTCATGGTGAAAGGCATAGAGGCTGGACAAAGCAGTAACATCTTGAGACAAAAAGAGATAGAGAATGGTTCAAGGCAGATTAAATGGGAACAACCAACCCTTAGTATTGGGGACATGGGAAGGCCTTTCCTAACTAGGTCTCGAAGTGCATTAGAGTCACCTCAATGTACTCGAAGAGATGACAATAAGGATCCAACTACAGATAGCACAACAAGTGAATCATTTTCAGAGGCATGTCTGAGCATGAGCCTAGGTATTGCAAGCAATGGAAACAGGATGGAGGCTACTTCAACAGCGGAAAGACCTATTCTATCGCCAACAACAGCCATTGCTGAAGGACGAGAACTTGCCACTACACTATCTCCCTTTCAGCAAGCACAGAGGGCTCGGCATTTCCTGACCAGACCACCAAGGGTTGGTGAAGGTGCTGCTTTTGATCCAACGAGAGACATGTTTCCGCATCTTCGTGTTGCTAGACCACCTGCTGAGGGAAGGGGCCGCAATCAATTACTTCCTCGGTATTGGCCAAGAATAACAGACCAAGAGCTGCAACAAATATCTGGAGAGTATCCTTGCCTTCATACATTTGAAATTGTCGACTTCCTGGTGACATTGATCTCTGACATTTAGTAACTTATAAATACAAGGCTCCAGAATAGCTCATTAGGCTTAAACCCGTGTAATATGCTGCATAAATTCCTTTTGTGACAGATGTAGGTTTTCTTTTATCTTCCTTGACTATAATTTGCAAGTTCAAATTCCACAATCGTTCCATTGTTCGAGAAGGTCCTGAGTGCGAGTGATGCAGGCCGCATAGGGCGCCTTGTTCTTCCAAAAGCTTGTGCTGAGGTAACTTTAACATTTGTTTGGCTTCCTTTTAATAATTTAAGTATGTTTTTTATTATATATTGCTGATTTATCTTCCAAAAGTTGTTTGGAAGGAACATCAAAAGCATTTGACTTTCCTGTCCAGATTTTACTAAAATAAACATGGTATTGTCCTGGATCAATAGGATCAACATATATACCATCCATGTATGAGAAACCATATATGAAGGGGATCGTCATCCTGTACATTGCGTATACGTTAACATGGAAAAACTGATCTATGTAATGTCTTGCACTTACTGTTCAACCTAAATGCATCCTAATGGTGAACCACTATCATATCTATGGTAGCACTGCAATGATCTTATTCGAGTTCCTATAGTATATGTCCATGGATACTCTCATAGTCTCGTGTAAATAATTAATCAATGTGCATCTTTTCATTGTTGTGGTCTACTGCTTCTGTTCACGAAATTTACTGCTAGTGCAGAAGCTGCTTCTGTATGCATTCTTTCCCCATTGTTTCTGTCATCCTGAGTTAACAAGGTTCTCTGTGTAGGCATATTTCCCCCCAATTTCTCAACCAGAAGGTCGCCCCTTGACAATTCAAGATGCAAGAGGAAAAGAATGGCATTTTCAGTTTAGGTTTTGGCCAAATAATAACAGCAGAATGTATGTCTTGGAGGGTGTTACACCATGCATACAGTCTTTGCAATTACAAGCTGGCGATACAGGTAATTAGGAATTTATTTCCTTGGACATGATCATAAGCATCTATTTGCAAGCATGCACTTCACTTCTTTCTTGATTGAAGTTTGTTTTTAATACTACGTATATGGTATAGCTCACTACTATTTGTCACATGGTTTCCATGGCATCCATGCTATAGTAAATTATGCCGAATAGTATTATGTCATGTATCATGCTCTCTGAATGTTGTTTACTGGAATCATTTTTTTGTGTGGTTATTTTCTGCAGTGACCTTTAGTCGTATAGATCCTGGAGGGAAACTTGTTATGGGCTTTCGGAAGGCCACGAATACTGTCAGTCTGCCAGTAAGTTAGATTATCCATCAGATAATCTGTTGTTGTGGCAAGTGCTTGTTTTTCATCTCCTTTTTCATGTTTTTGCTTCAATATTTGTTTATTACCTTTACACAGGACTCACATATTTCAGCTATTGCAAATGGTTCCCTTCTCAGTGAGACACTCTTTTCTACTGCAAATGAGAACATAGGAGTAGTAAGTGGTTATCCTGGATTTCTTCACTCAGTAAAGGGAGCTGCAGATCTCCATCCAAGCTCTGTATATGATCATCATATGAACTCAGCTGATGGGGATGTCAGTTGGAATAAGGCAGATAAATTTGGCAGCAGGCCAGATGAGGGGTCTTTGCAATTTTTACAAAAACGTAGTCGCAATATTGGTTCCAAAAGCAGGAGGTTCTTAATCGATGCTGAAGATGCCATGGAACTAAAGCTTACCTGGGAAGAGGCTCAAGAGTTGTTGCGCCCTGCTCCCACTGCAAAGCCAACTGTTGTGATGATTGAGGACTATGAATTTGAAGAATATGATGTAAGTTTGCTATTCATTTCATTGTTCTTGTTCCAAATCATGGAGCACCTCTCTGCCAGGCACAAAAATCTGATCTTTGTTCATCGCAAAAATACTTGAATGATCTTCAACCTGCTCTAACCATAGTACATACATGCAGGAACCCCCTGTCTTTGCAAAGAGATCAATTTTCACCATCCGTGCAACAGGGTATGTAAATGATCGGAAAAAAGATACAGTATTATTATTTTTTGTTTACTTTTGAGTGATTATGAATAGTATCCATGATGAGTTGTACTTTTTCATAACACATTTTAAATACCTTTCCCCTAACATAAAAAAAACCTGAAATTACTTATGTCTTGAGATCTTCTTCCAATTCTAGGACAATCTAAGCGAGACACATCTAATTCTAGGACAATGCCTGAGATTGAATTTTATAGACCTTCCATGAAAAAGAAATGTCATAATGCTTTAAGAGGTCGAAATGAAAAAGAACAATTGAAAAAGTGGTGACATTCATTCACCTATTGCATTAACTGTGTAGTCGTCATACTGTTTGAGGGTTTGTTGTCTAAATGGAAGTCATGTGCATCATTGACGACTTGGCGTCAATGTGCCAATTATGTCAAATTTCTGATTTTTTATTTGTAGGGAACAAGATCAGTGGATTCAATGTGATGAGTGCTCAAAATGGCGTCGGCTGCCTCTTAATGTTATTGTTGCATCCAAATGGACATGCATCGATAACTCATGGGACCCAAAATGGTAATGCTATATTGTGTTCTCTGTTGATGTGTTGGGCGATGTGTGATCCGATCAATCTTTAGTCTTAAAATTCCGAAACTTTGGCATGATAATCTTATTGGTGTGGAACAATGAATTTATATGGTCTTCATCTGATCTGTTTCATTTCATGTTACAGTCTTGTCTTATCCGCAGTCTTGGTCAATCCAGAATTTCAGTCACAAGATCCTGGATTTGCTAGATTTATCCATGTACTTTGAAAGATGCTCTTTTCTCTCGTATCACTCTCAACAATTCGTATTGAAAAACTTGCTGGCATAAGGCCAATTGTCTGTGACGCTGTCCCTTGTTTTTTTCAAGACCGTACCTAGGCATGTACGAATTTCATTAAGAGGGTGACACTATCTCTTGCTGGAGGCTATTTGTCTGTGACACTGTCCCTTACTCCCTTGCTGGACTGCTCTATTCTTACTTTTGTTACTCCTACTAATTCTCATTATACTTTAAATTCAACTGTTCCAGCTGCTCCTGCTCTGCGCCTGAAGAGTTGACCCCAAAAGAGTTGCAAAGTGTTATGCAGCTGTATGAAGGTACGATTTACTTATGTTTACTGACCTTGAAAACAAAATTTTAAACACAGTGATAACACAGTGGTAGGACCTCCCGTTGGGAGGCTGCTGGTCAGGGTTCAAGCCCTGGCTTGCATGCAAAAAAGGCCCCTTTCTGTGTAACTCTTCAGAGATACACATCCGGGGTAGCCAGCTTTCGGTATCTTTTCTTAACCCTTCAGTTCGAGGAAATTTCTGCAATGCCTCAGGGGAGGTCTTTCCCCTAGGGTCAGCCTTTTCTTTTTATAACAAAATTTCAAGATGCTGAAGACGTGTCGTGTAAGGAAGGGTATCGGGATATCAATGTAACAGTTGATTGGTTAGTAATGACTATGAGGAAGTTAGGCAGATATATTTTGGTTATGTATTTTGATAAGTCAGCTTTGTAGAGGAGAAGCTCATACTGCACCTTTTGCTCATACAATGTACATCGCAGAGATGAGGAGGCGAAAGGGCAGCTATGGTCTGAAGCTGAATGTCGCTGAAATGGATGCATCCAGCCTTGACGCCTTGGCCAGTGCCGCAGTATTTGGTGAAGTCGGGAACCAAGGTACCGCTTCAGTCGCGACAACCACAAAGCACCCCCGGCATCGCCCTGGCTGCACATGCATTGTGTGCATCCAGCCGCCCAGCGGCAAGGGCCCGAAGCACAACCCTGCGTGCACCTGCAACGTGTGCATGATGGTCAAGCGTCGGTTCAAGACACTGAGGATGAGGAAGAAGCAGCGGCAGTCGGAGCGAGAGGAGGCAGAGGCGAGCAAGAAGATCGCATGGGTGAACAGAGAAGAACCTGAGGGGAGCAACCTGTCAAGATCCCCGCAGACGCTGGACACCACCCGAGACAACAGTGATGTGACCATGTTCGACAAGGTGGCCGACATGAACAAGGGGCACATAGACCTCAACTTCCACCCTGCCCCTGCCGTCCGTGGCGACCAAGGACAGCATGGCGCGCAGCAGTCCCGGCCGGTGAGCATAATGGACCTCCTGGAAGTGGCGAGCCGGCCCCTTGATAACTACATGAAGCAGAACGGCCTGACGAGCCTGGTGGGGGAGCAAGGTGGTGGCAGCTCCAGCACGACCACGGTCCCACCGGCTCCGGTGGAGAGTGAGGAGCGGACGTCCAACGAGGGCCGCGTCGCATCAGCATCAGCAGAGCGGGAACCGGACGCCATGGCCATCGACGAGGCTGGCGAGAACCAGCAGGACAAGGCTGCCGACGATGCTGCTGCTGCTGCTACTTGACGGCGTGCGTGCGTCTGTGACTGATGGGTGTTGTCAGCGTGCTTTGACGTGTGTATCTTATCGGCTCCTCTTGGTTTTTTTCAGGAAAAGCTGGTGAGTTTTGATGTGAAAGTTCTAAATCAAATTTCTGTAGGGTTTGGGTTTCATGGAGTTGCTTCTACTGTGGGGGCTGGAGTAACTTACGTGTACGTATGAGGCTGTGTAACCAAACCCCAGGTTGTATGTTGTAAAAGTTCTGTAACCAGGATGCTCTTGTGTTGGTTGGTGTTGTAATCAAATAACGCTTAAACCTTTGGCTTCAATAGCCCACATATACTTGATTTGTACTGTACATCCCATCTAAAGGCCTTTTTGGAAAACAGGAATTTCACACTGAGTCATTGATTTTATAGGAATCAGTTCATTTCACAGAAAAAAACATCCAGAGTTCCTAGGTCCTTTTTACTGATGCTGAAAGTATCAATCTTGCATTGCCTACGGATAGTTATAAATGTACTGTACATGTATCAGGGTTTGGGACACTATACACTTGAAAAACGGATAACTTTCAAAAGAGAACCATGACAATTTCAATTTATCATTTTCAAAAAATAACTTTAATCAATTGGCAAATTCAATTTTATTATATATATATTATATAATTATTTTAAAAAAGATATTAATTTGAATTGTGGGGGCCTTCCACAAAGGAAAATCCCCTCCAAAAATTAGCGTATGCTGCTATTTGCGGCGTGCACACGGTATTCTTTAGTAAAAGGCGAAAGAATAGTTCGCTTTGTGCTCACCGCGCAGCTGCGTGCCTTAGCAATGTAGGCCTGGTCCTCCTTATATGCTTCTCCATTGAACCGCAACATAGCTAGAGCAGCGAGGTGGTACTAATGCAATGCCCCGAACTGAAAGTAACACGCGCGGCGACGCTGCGCAAAACTGGCCTGGCCCGTTACTCGGTAAGGGTGTCACTCAAGGGCGTCACTCGCTTCGCACAACAATTGCTGCTGGGCTAGCCCAACAGAGGATGCAACAACAATTTCTTAGACATTTGGATGTGTGAAAATGCTGAGTACTTGTCACCAAAGCAGCATCATATATTCACATCAGCATGTTGATATATTAGTTGGAGAATAAATAAGATTTTCTTATATAGTACTTAAATATGAGGTTTTTAGTTCTAGAGTTGCCTACGAAAAGCATAAGAGGATTTGCTAGCTATGATAAGTATTTTAAATTACAAATACAACTTTGCGTACCACTCGGTACTGCTTTACTTGTATTTCTTTTGCTGATAATTGAAGATCTGGGATCTATTAGTCAAAGTGGACTACTAAAAAAAACTTCTGTTGCAAGGTAATTTTTTTAAGTCTATTTAGCTTCTTTGTAGAAACCCCCTTTGCTGGATTATTACCAATATAATCATAAAAGGCTATTTTTTCGGGAATTTTAGACCAAGCTTCGGATAAACTAAGATTTTCGGCTAACCCATCGCTAACTCTTCGATATATTTCTTGCTTAAAGTATCGCTGATCCCACTGATAATGAGTAGGCCCAAATAATTCGATTGGGGTAGTTGCTGATCCATACCACATAGTCCGGGCTTCCGGCAACTACGAAAGCAGCAAAAAAAAAAAAACAACGATACTATAGTAGCATTGTTGCCGGCCCTTATCATTTTTAAAGACTAACAAATGTGCCCGTGCATTATAACGGAACTCGATAATTATAGGAATCGTCGAATCAAACTCCGTATCATCGTTACATACAAGTTGTTCGAACTCGTATGAGCGTGGATCATGAGTCCGGGTCACCTACGAGATACATAAGGTGTGACACGATACGTATGGGAACCAGATGCCGTATTTATCATCGCTAGACGCGAGTTGTCCTAACTTGTATGAGTATGAGTCATGTGTATGGGTCATGTACGAGAATAGAGGGCGTGGGTGTAGCTTGGGAAAGTAAAAAAAAAAAAAACAGGACGGAAGAAACTCTCAATGTGACACAGGCAATGGGTTTGAAAGTGAGGGCTGCTGCTTGAGGAAGGTAAACATCAAGTACTAGTGATTGAATATTGATCACGCATGGTTCTTGGAGATTGATTGATTTATACAAGGCAAAGCGATAGCGAGTGAGGAGGACGGGGCAATCATGCGTGTAGTATGTTTGTTTGTGGAGGGTCCACTAGTCGGCGACGAAGAAACATGCAGGTCCGGGCGATCCTTCGCTGGGCAGATGATATCCTTTCACCCTTTTTAGGTGTACATAGAAGAGAAGAGAAAATTAATTATTATGTTTTTGCTAGGTTGGCCTGAGCATTTCTTTCTTTTTAGTTTCTTCCATGTTATATTTTGATGTATTTTCACTCGTATAAACCAACCATTGTACTCCTAATATAACTCAACTATTTTAAAATTTTCAAAATAATCGATGGTAGCATGTTCCTATTAGTTTTTTTAGAAAAAAAGCATCACCGCTCTTTATTAATCATGCTGGGAAAAGAACAAAGTCCCTTCCGGCGGTGATAGCCTGTTCTCGTTAGTGTTCCAAGGTCTCTGAGCAACATTGCACCATCCACCACATTAAGGACTTCCATCCAGCCCATTTATCTGCTCAAGCTCTGCTTGAAGCGACCCAAGATGTGTCCAGCCCACTGAAGCCCGAAACAAGGCAGCGATCACATGACTACGAGGGGCCCACCCCACCCCACCCCACCCCACCCCACCTCCTTCGTTCCCAGATCCCACACGCACTCCACTCGCTTTCGGAACCCAAGACGCCACTGTCTAGTACTAGCAGAGCAGAGCAGCTAGCCAAGAGTAGGAGTAGCCGCGTGCGCTTCCCGAGCCCCGACCCAGACAACTAACTACGCGCAGCCCAGCCGACCAGAGAGAGACAGACAGACAGGAGCAGACCTGCCCGTCGCAATGGCGATGCCGCCGAAGCCCGGCGACCCGCCGCAGCGCTCGCCGGCGCGTAGCCCCAACCTCAACCTGCCCTGCCCGCTGCCGCCGGTCCCGGGCGGGGCGCCTGCGCCGCCGCCGCCGCAGCCGGGCGCAGGGCTGCCCCCGCCGCGCGTGGGCCACCACCGCCGCGCCAGATCTGAGGTGGCCTTCCGCTTCCCGGACGACCTGGCCGGCGGCGGGGGCGGCGGCTTCGACGAGATCGGCTCCGAGGACGACCTCTTCTCCACCTTCATGGACATGGACAAGATCGCCGGCGCCGACCGCGACAGCGCCGCCGAGACCTCCTCGCCGCCGCGCCCAGCCAAGCACCGCCACAGCGCCTCCTTCGACGGCTTCGGGATGGGGGCCGGCGCCGGCGGCCCGGGCGGGCAGCAGGACGGCGGCGGAGGCCTGTTCGGAGAGGTGATGGAGGCCAAGAAGGCCTTGTCTTCCGAGCAGCTCGCTGAGCTCGCTGCCATCGACCCCAAGCGCGCCAAAAGGTGACGCCTTTTTTTCCCCTTCTTCCATTGCCACCGTCCTCGCATTCTGACACTACTAGCTAGGACTGCACGGTAGTTGCTTGGTTGGTAGGGTTGCAGGTGAGATGGCTGTTACTTTTTGTGATCTATATTGATTGTAAAATGAAAAGCCGCATAATGCTTAATGACTTTTGGTATTGTGTGCATCGAAATGAAAAAAAGAAGAAGCATAGCCACCTGTGAGTCTTGCCAACTACTTGAGACGTGGTCTGGAATCATCGGGATAGTGAAAGGCAGCTTATCGGATAGGGTTGCAGCAAGCTGACCAACTGAATTGGATAGCTAGGTCATCCTTGTCACGTACTAGGTTTCTTTCCAAGTGAAAGCAAGCACCCATAAAAGTTACTGAGATGTCATTTTTTGTTTGCTTAGTTAGTGTCTTAGTTTGTAAAGGTGTCTCGTGTCGTTTAGTAGCCTTAAATAAGCAGAAGGCACAGGTCGAAATTGGTGGGATGTGGCATCAATTTGAATTGCTTTCGTGGCATTTTCTCCATGTTTTTAAAGTTATTGAGGTGTCTGTATTTGTTTAGTTGGTTAGTGTCATGGTCCTTAAAGGTTCTTCTGTTCATTTAGTCTTAAATAAACAGAGATGGAGATCAAAAGAGGCAGGATACAACATTTATTTGCTTTGTTTCAATGTTTTCTTCGCTGGACACTCCGCGTTATCTAGATTCCCTCCAAGATGCTCAATAAGTAGCGTGGCATACACCATACTTCTAACTGGTTCTTTCTAGCACAAAATTATATGCTACAACTATCGTTTCCCTTTTGGCGTATATTAAAGTTACACCGAGATGGTTAGATTTTGTTTGTCAAAACTTTGTATTAGGGCCAAGCTATATGATATGGTGTTTCTCTTGTGATAATTCATGCAATTGTTTACATGTTTGCTCTCCTCAAGACCTCAAGTCCTCGTTGACTTTGGTAACATTTAATTATTTATCGTTGATATGTTTCTGTATTGGCAATCATTGATACAATGGAGATAGCATAGCCAGTTTTACTCGCATAAACGTTGTTAGTATCGATGTATTTATTAGGTACGCTAGTATCTCACTCTTGAAGATTGTTTTATGTTGTTCATTGTCGAAACAGGTTCTTAAATCAGCTAAGAGGCTGTTCATTGTCAACGGTTCTCAAATCAGCAAAGAGGCTGTAAATGGCAGAAAATTGTCGCATATTAAATGGGCATGCAGTGTTTTATGTCATTATCTTCCTATTATGTCATGCCTAAGGCCCTCCGACATGTTAACTGAAGTTGGGGTGAATGTTGATACTCTGTTAAATGTGCCTTATAGTTCTACATCACAAGTATATATTTTTCCTGTTCCAGTTAACTGCACTGGACATTAGTATTTTCCCAAGAGTTTGCACTACAAGCAAGCTGTGTAAACCTGTATTTATAATTTAGGGTTACATTTTGCTGGCTGGTACAGTTGCCCCTGGATTGCAGCCACATTTTGATTTCTGTAATATTTGTTCAATATTTAACTTATCTAATATCAGGCGATATTTGTTGTAATAG